ACCTGACTGTTGACTTGGACCCTTGATTTTCCAGGGGGCAGTGCGTGGTCGCACTGCCTGGCGCAGGCCGTGTTTGGCCTGTGTTGTCTGGGTGCAGTTTCGGGCCCCCAGACTGCTGCGGAACACGGGTTACTGCAATGTGACCTGTCACGGTGGCAGTCACACTTCTACCACACGTATTTGAAAGGGCGTATGGCTGCCTCTACGTGCTTGCTGAGTACAACAAGTCCCAGATCAACTCCCTAGGAATTGAACCTATGACCTGCCACCAAACAGGTGCATCACTTAACCAATAGGTAAAACATGACCTGCGGTGAAAGAGAAGTCCTTTTTACCATGAGCGAGAAGCGGTTTAACGGAGCCCTAAATTTTCCGGATTTTTTTATTTTTTTTCAGGGTCATTATAACAAGCGTCCCACGCCTTTTAAGCCAGAGACTTGTCACCAATCCATAGAGCGATGGACATCAAATAAACCAACAGCAAAACAAAAAGGTAAAAAAAAATGCTCAAAAGGGGGCCTTAAACCCCAAGGCAAAAGTGTGTTTTCATGCAAAATTCCTCTTTCCAGTTTTCAGGATTTTCAGGATTTTTCAGGGCTGGCCAAAACGGAAAACCCCAAGACCCCAACAAACACCAAACTTGGCACACACAAACCTTGACCAAAAAAAAAAAAAAAAAAAAAAAAAAAAAAAAAAAAAAAAAAAAAAAAAAAAAAAAAAAAAAAACTGAAAATTCAAAATTTTGATCTCCAATGCACTTTTCCAGGTTGGAAGGCGGTTATAACTTGAGGGTGAAAAGTGGGGCTCCCTGTTAACCGCTAATGCATGATAATGATGATGGTCATAACAAGTCAATGACAATAACAATGGCGATGATGATGACAATGCTGATGATGGTAATGATGATGATGATGATGATTATGATGCTGATGATGGTGGTGGTGGTGGTGGTGGTGACCATGTCACGTCACGTCAATGGAAACAATAGCAGGACAGCCATTGCTGGATAGCATCCAGATTCGTAAATAGAATCTCATGCACACGATAAAGCAAAATAGGATCCGTTAAAATTGGAACGATACAGCGAAGATTAGCATGGCCCTTGAGCAAGGATGACGGAAAAAAGGAAAAAAGGAAAAAAGAGAATCTTCAGGAGAATCGTAAAGCTTACCACCACCTGAGCCGAAGGCAGCATACCTCCTCCAAAAACCAACTCACCTGGCATCAGCATCCCCACTTGTAAGGTTGGAACCGTCATCTTTTCCCTGCAATTCCGGATCTACACCATCAGGCCTGCTGTCCAATGACGCAACCGCTTGCAAAGCCTCATCCATGCTAGCTAGACCTCGAGCAGCAAAATCCTATGTTGTGTCACACACACACACACACACACACACACACACACACACACACACACACACACAGAGGAAATGAGAGAGAGAAATTTGCGGTGCATTAACAACACACATTCCGGGCATGCTAGCTCTGTGCCCTGGCAGATTTGAGCGGTTAGGATCGGGATCATACTAGCAAGGTTTTTTTTGTCTGTGTGGATCGCACAGGCCTCTACGTAGCACTAGGTATCATCTGATTCTGCAGGGGAGTTTCATGTCACTCTTGGTGTTGCGCACAGGTTCTGAGGTGTATTTTTGATTTGTGGTGGCATTGTAGGCCGTCGCAGAGGGCTCTAAAAAAAATATTTAGACCACTGGCAAGTGCAGTCGGTGCTTCTTTGTTAATGGAGCCTTTTGATTTATATTGTTGGGTTTGTTTAATTAAGTTTGTGGTATTGAGGACCGACGCGGAGGGCTCTCCAAGTTTTTTCGGACCTATGGCGGATGGGGTCGGTGCTTTTTTTTTTTCCTTTCTTTTTTTTTTTTAAGAAGAAGAAGAAGAAAGATCTCACAATAAATTGTGCAGCGTGCACAATTCTACTACAGTTAGGATCAGACTCACCACACACCAAAAAGCATCAACTGACTGTCGCAACTACCAATTTAGTGAAACCCTCCCTTTGTGTTTTTGTTTCCGGTTTATTAACTTTTTTTTCCAAAACTTTTGTGACTTCTGAATCCTGACTCTTCTGAGCCATTCGCTTTTTCAGGCCATCTGCAACCCAGTATTCAACATAAAAAAGTATTGAATGGAACATTAACCAGGCCCACATTTGAAAAAAAAACTCTGGGGGAAGGGGGGGGGGGGGGGGGTGGGGGGGGGAAGGTGGGGAAGGGGAAGAGAGGGGGCAGGGCGAGGGCGGGGGAGGGAGGGAAGGGCCCTCATCATCAATGTCAGATTTCGGAAGAAGTGACAATATGTGATGGAGTGGCAGCGATGCCGCAGCATCCATCTCCCCCCTGATATTATGCACACATATCATCATATTGTTATATAAACTTATATTATAATAATTATATAATTATCATATGTTTTTTTTGTCAAGAATGACTCAATAGTATGAATTATTTATACTAGGGAAATTGTTGGAATGCCCCTAAAAGTC